GTTGTTGTTGATTAAGTAAGGTCTACACGAGGTAGGCCGATTCCTGGTAGTAGTTTACACAGAACGTTAATCAGGCTGACGTGCTGAGTGGAGTGCTGTATTGGTATACTGTGTTACGATAAAGGGATCGATTACCACCACAGGTATTTGTATCACGAGATGGTGAAATGCATACCTCTTTGTTAAAAGTGCTCGATTGTCTCCCTTGTTGTAAATCATAACATGCTTAGTTCCGATCGTACAATAGGTTAAAACTTTTGTTTTTCATTTAATGTGATAAAGACTAAATGACTTGGGCAACATGTGGTTAGAAAAATAGTCAAAGTTCGCTGTCCAAAGTACGCTGAAGACACTTTACGATCATATTCATAAGATTTTAACTCTGATGTCGATGTATCATTTCTAATGGTTAACAGAAGTATTCGATGTGTTTTAGATTGATAATAATCTACAGAACTTCGTGGATATGACGTGAAATGTGGCAGATACCACCTATGGTTCTGTAAATCCCCACTACGTTTTGTTAGGACTAATTATACTTATATGTATGCCAATAACTGTCTCCAATCATTATTACATTTTCTGCTTGCAAATCTTCCTGAACACCGGTTAATGATAGGGATACTAGCCCGCTCTGTTTCTATTAACTTTCGGAAACTCAACAGCAATTTTTAAAACTACAATGTATCACTGGTTTTAGAGGTGCATGTTATGGAATGTAGATTTTGAGGAAAAATTTCTGATAACTCCTTTAATCGAAAAGGCTTCCTCTACAAGAATATTTGATTTTTACATTCCGTTTACTACCATAGCTAGAATCAAACTGAAGGATAGTATTCGTTCTCTTTTAATGAAAGAGTTTTCTTTCTTAAGAAATGCGATTGACGAAACATATGTACGGTCGTGAAATATTTTGTAGCGTATGTTTATTGAAAAACACGACAAAAGCCAATATCAAGTTGTTGAAATATCCATGTGGACATGCTGTGCCCACTCTTTGTTGACCTTATATACGAGGCTTAATTCATCGAAAAGCCTATCAGGACATTGTCGATTCCTTCAATATCACTTTCTTATATATCCAAAATGTGCTTGTAAATAACACAGTTTGTTAACCATGTCGATGGAATACCCTCTTGAACTCAAAATAAGTGACAATACACTCGGTCATCTCAGTATAGAGTATACAGTATAAACATTAAGGACGACTTTATATGAAGCTGTATGACAAGCTTAACGATTTATTCGTTCCTAACGTTAACTCTCCCTATTGTGACAGTTATATCCCTGCTCCCCATCTAAAGTGTTAACTAGTCTGCTGAGAAGGTTATAAATTCCGTGATAATACCGAAAGCTACCACAGCACAGGTTTCATTGTATCCTATTGTATTGAGTAAACAATAGGATTGAACAGCAGGCTAGGCCTATAGAAGTTCTCTCCTTAGGATGACATGACAAAGATAGTAGTGAAACGATTAATAAGAAAATATTGACGCCAAATATATATCATAAGTAGCATAGCTCCTCAGTCTAGATAACGAATGGTATATCTCGGTTGATGAAGACTGTTTTCTGATCACCATCATGACCTCGATGGAAACACCTTATTTCCTTCTGTGATATGATTGTCCACGTGTTTGATCATGCTCTTAAGTTTGCCATGCTACGTTGTCACTGCCCCAGTTCCTAATGTGTGCACTTGAAACAGCAGACGCTAAACATTTCGGAACACCTCTTATTCAGGTCTTATTCCTGGTACTTGTTCAAGGGTTAAGTTGTAAATCTGTCCTTTCTTCATATTTTGCCCTACTTACATAGCTTTTAAACTCGATTTGTGGTTTTGGTGTCACTTTTATATTCTCTTGTCATTGCCTTTCTGTTAACTATCAGTCGGTAATTGCCCCCCCCCCCTTTTTTTTTTTTAGTTTCCTTTTTAAACATCATTATCTTCTAAACATCAAAATCTGCTATGATGAAGGTATATCGTGTATTGGGACAAAGGTGAATATGTATGCCGCCGTTTGTGAGCCTTGTGCGTGCTATTTGGTGGTTAATATAATGACCTGCAGTGATGAAATCTGAGCTACTCTGTAGTGTTAAAACACCACATTAGTGTCAGTCCATATAAGTAAATATCTCATTGTACTTCTGACATACACCAGCATTGTTCTAACCATTCCCATTATGTAACACAAATAATATTGTTTGAACCAAAGTATGCGACAAACAAGCGATGAACACAATCGGCCATCAGTTTAAGTAGGAAAATGAAAAACAAGTTAAGAACAAAAACCGGAAAGCGATGTTTCCGTCGTAAAAAAACTATGAACACGACAACTGATTTGCTTTTGATAGTCTCGATTCTGTGAGGAAGTGTCAACATAGCAAAACAATGGGGTGTTTCAAAATTGCTAGTTCCGGTATTATCAAGAAAATCTTGTCTCGATCAAAATAGTAAAATTATTTGACAAATACAGATTAAATGCAAATAAACGGACGATTGTTTTTTTTATATTTAGAAAAATCGTTTTTCGATTATAAACACATCAACATCAGAATCCACATATCAGTCCTTTCTGCGGACCTGAGCAGACAACACCAGAGTAGACCTCTTCCTCAACCAGGTAACGTGGCATTTCTTACAATGAAATTAAATAAATCTTTCCTCGCATGGTGTCTCTTATGATCAAATTACGTCACGGTCGACGACTTGTAGAAAATCAGTCCCCGAAGTTGGCCGTAACTTTGTAGCTGATATCTATACTGGCAAGGTTTACACGATATATAAGTTCACGAAAATATTAACTTTTGTAAGCAGCTGCCAGTGTGTAACGTTATATAGGGTTCCATAGGCATGCTTCCGTTTATACTATTGTATCTATCTATTTTGAGACACTGTAGACATGGAGATTTTATTCATATATGTATATATTTGAACTTTAGTACCACTGACGAGTCTTAAATGGAAATTATCATACGGTGCAACAACTGTTTCTCTGCTCGGCTTTCTACATTCACTAGCTGAAGTTTTAAATAAGCACTTCTTAACTCCGTAATTCTAGTGATTCATTAATATAAGTTATCACATTAGTATTCAAACGATCAAGCATTCATCCACTTATTAAGGTATTCAAAGGTCTGCAATATACATCTGTAAACATTTTGTTCAGTCAACAGCTGTAACCAAGGACATTTTCTTTAGTCTTCTATTTGTTTCTTTAGTCTACTATCTCTTTCTTTAATACAGTATCTACGGTCATTTTCGACAATCTTCTACTGTGAGGAGAGTTATATAATTCAAATTACTACTTTGAACCAGTGTAAACAGTGCTATTTTCTAAAAAGTAAAACTATAAATATTGTTATTTACTACAATCTAAAACAGTACTATTTTTCATAAATGATGCTTAAAATGTACTTAAATGTATTTTCTATTATTCACATTAACTTGGTTCATGTGGTAGCCTCACTGAAGTGATAAACATTGTATTCACTGACAGCCTAGGAGTATGATCCAACAGTAGTCATTTAAAAACAGAAGACGCATTGAAGAGACATCCACTTATGCGCGCTCCTGGCCTTGATAAGTGCGACATTCATTATACAAAGACTTGCATGAACCGCAATAAAGCGATAAGCTGCTAAACGCCTATTTAAATGAAGAAAAATCATATTTCATCATCCGTAGCTTTTTCAGAATATTTGAACATTGCCCATCTGTTATGGCAATCTTCTAGCGTTACCCGAGATTATGACCAGGTAGTGTTGGAGAGGAATTCACACCGTGTTCCCGGTGGGCAGGTCTGGACGCCCTGTGTGGTAACAGGCCCTCGCTGGAAGAGGGAATGTAACAAATCAATTATACACATGTTCAACCGATCTTGGATTTTTTTCTTGAAACGCCACGACGAGAATTTGATTTAGCGATATGGAAAGTTCACGTGTGCCTGTGTGATTAAGTCCGTGTAAGTTGTGAAAATAGGGCCTTGAGTATGACGTACCCTTACTGACTTTTGCATTAATTACTTTTAACATTTTATTCAATCGAATACCTGTCAATGATTTGCAAGTTTCTGGGGGAATCATGACCCGTAGAAAACACGGAGGACACAAGGATTTGATTGTGTAGCTGACGAGGCCGCTCTACCTACCGAGCGATGAGGGTCCAAGTCCGACACATACACCATTGTTGGAACCACAAATTACACCTAATGAGTCTGCCTACCGGGGTCAGCCCCGTCACGTTCCCAGTTGCCAAGTACAGAAAAACTTTATATCTTGTGTCAATCGGAATTATTCCTTTAGCAGAACATTACAAACAAATGTCCCCGGTTTTGATTTAAAGTCGTGAAGTGATGGCGATAAGTATGTAGTGAAGGCATTAATTGATTTTGTAACCTAATCGCACCTGTTCTGATAGTAGAGGGGGTTCAATGTGCATTGATGGAAGAGGTATGCATCGGAATACTACCCACTGATCACATAATCAGTCCATTAAGATAAGTAAACTAACGTATTGTTCACATTAATTCAAAGTGTCAAATTCAAGTAGGACTCAGTGAAAGTTGTTCAATAGACAGATCTGTACGACCACATAGAGTCGATACGAACCCTCCTTCGGTGAGTGAGTGTGTCTTGTCGTCTTTGAAACTCGCTGTTGTGTTTTAAGTTTATTTGAATACGTCTTCGTCATGTCTTAGTTAATTTTATCTTCACACAATGTTTGTATGGTGAAGATTTTATTTGATGTTTACTGTTTCCCTCTCATTTTCTGGTAATAATTTAACTATTTGATAAATGAAGAGTTTTGTATATCAAGTGCACTTTCCCTTTGAGAAGAAAGATATTTGTTTTATATTTCGAGTTTTCCTCTGCTTGTCTGATGATACCATTTTCTATTATGTTTTCCTTTTTCTCGCTGATGGGCTGATGAAAACTTTTTGTAGTTTTATAGGTTCATTTTGATTATCTGATGAAGATTTCTGCTTTTATATTCACAGTTTCCTTTTTGACCTACGACCCTTACCTGATACATCGCCATCATGGACCTGGCGCAAGACAGTGTCGCCGAGGTGTCTAAAGATGAACTTTCGACAGAAGAACTCCAGAAACAACGTCGGGAGAAGAAGCCATTCTTCTACTGTCGTATCGTCACCAATCACCCTTACAAAAGCTTCTGTGAGTTCCTTCAAACCTTTATTATGCTCATGTATTTCTATGTTCCTATTCGTAACTTTAAAGTTCAATGATTGATGAATTGTTAATGAAGCCAGTGTTACATATTCAATGGCAAGGAGCTCTGCAACTTTGGAGAATTTGTATTCAAGCATCAACACATTTAAAATCTGGAAACTATTGATTTACTTCACTACTCCTTAACATTGTTAACGAATGTTTAAGCTTGGTGTCAAAATAACGCTTAAAATTAAAATGCAATGCAGTTTATCCAATCTCCAATAACTATTTGTTATATAATTCCTTTATTGAACATAATAGACTATCATTCAATCCCGAACTGAAATATAAAATTAGTATTAAAATATTTCTCATCAACGGACAAACTCAAAAGACACCAACATTTCGTTGTAATACGCTTTTGGGAAGTCAACATTATGTTAGGAAAAAGGTTATTTACGTAACTGCATTAATCGATGCGGGATTCATACTACCAAAGAACGTTTGATGAACCTTAAATCTCCTCCAATGTCTAAGAGTATTTTATATTTCAATTTTCCTTTTCGATAGTAAACCTAGGTCCATATTTTGCTCTAGTTTTGCCAATTTTAAGTTCCACTACGGTTTTGTCCAAATTTCGGTATGCTCCTTTTTTTCTTAAACACAATTGCGGTATTGGCCATTGACCTACAGTTGTCAGTTTACAGTACTATATAGGCCAATGACCCACTGGTGTCAGTGTATAGTTTAAGATCAATTAATGATCTACAGGTGTCATTTTACAGATAATATAGACCAATTATCTACAGGTGTCATTTACAGTATAATATAGACCAATTATCTACAGGTATTATTTAGAGTATAATATAGACCAATTATCTACAGGTGTCATTAACAGTATAATATAGACCAATTATCTACAGGTGTCATTTTGCAGATAATATAGACCAATTATCTACAGGTGTCATTTTACAGATAATATAGACCAATTATCTACAGGTGTCATTTACAGTATAATATAGACCAATTATCTACAGGTGTCATTTTACAGTATAACATAGACCAATTATCTACAGGTGTCATTTTACAGATAATATAGACCAATTATCTACAGGTGTCATTTACAGTATAATATAGACCAATTATCTACAGTTGTCAGTTCACAGTGCAAACGCTTCCGTAGTTTTTATGTTGTGTTTTTTTTTTCATATTGCTTATATTACTGTTTTGAAAAAAGTAAAACAATTGTAGCCTTTAACTTCGGTCGATGCGTGGATTTATTGACCCGAGAAAAAGATACATTGATCGAGGACGTATATCTTTTCTCGGACCAAAGGCTGTAATTTAATAATGTAGACCAATTATCTACAAGTATCATTTTACAGTATAATATAGACCAGTGATCTACAGGTGGCAGTTTTCAGTATAACATAGATCAATGTTCTACAGGTGGCAGTTTACAGTATAATATAGACCAATGTTCTACAGGTGGCAGTTTACAGTATAAAATATAGAAATGATCGACAGATATTAGTTCACGGTGTAATATAGATCAATGTTATTTTGTTGTCAATTATTGGTATGATATAGTTTACAGTATAAAATATAGAAATGATCGACAGATATTAGTTCACCTTGTAATATAGACCAATGTTATTTTGTTGTCAATTTACAATTAACGGTATGATATAGACCTGCGTGACCGTCACTTGTACCAATAACATATTCATATATAGTCGGTCTCTTACACCAATAACCTATCCCTGTGTTAAAGGTGTTACGATCACTTACACCAGTATCATATCCTTGTGTTGTAGTTGTGGCGCTTGGCATACAGATTGGTATCGTGATGACTACCGGTATCCTCTTCCTCAGTGGCTATGACCTGTTTCCAACAAGCTTCGACACACTCCCGATGGAGCTGTATTCCATCCCATACAGACTCCGAGACTATGCGAACCGGGATAAAGACAACTACGATGATGCATTCGTACGACAACTCGACAATACAGGCTTTCCGTCGTGGGAACGAGGCCTACGACATTCTTTGTCATCCCTTGATCTTTACTATAGCAGCGAGGGTGGAAATATATTTACTCGGGAGACATTTCAGCTGATGCAGCAGGTAGAAAATGACCTGGTAACGGCCTCTGGCTACTCGTCTAGTTGGTGCCAAACCAATTCCTCTTCTCTCGCTTGTGTCAATACAGTGTCTATCCTACGGTATTTTGACGGCACGTACTCTGGCATCAGTGCCACGTTCAATGATCCTACCTTCAGTAACATCCCCAGCGTGTTGTATGAAGCATACACCAACACACAGACCAAGGCAGACTTCGAGTTTTTCCTCCCAAAGTCCTTCGTTATTACCGCTACCAGGGCCGAAGGGACGATAACACGAAGTATTCTTCCAGTAGGCTGTTCAGTTAGCGGAACCTACTTGTGTAAAAATATGAAAAACGTTGTTGGAGACTTTCTACAAGGTCCTATGAAAGATAAGTTGGAAAGCTGGAGGGAGAAGCTCACTTCATTTGACTTCTGGTATTACAGCTATATCCTGTGGAACAAAGACGTAATTGCACAAGCAATGACCGACATGATGCTTGCCTTGGGCAGCATGGTATTTATTTTTTCTTTCATGACCTACCACACCAAGTCGTTGTGGATTGCCGGTTTTGCCATTATTAGCATTATAACAAGTTTCCTAGGAGGCAACTTGATATATAGAGTTATTTTTGACTTTCGATATTTCGGTTTTTTCCACATTCTTGCAATTTTCATCGCCCTTGGTATCGGAGCAGACGACCTGTTTGTGTTCTTTGATGCTTGGCGACTGACGTCTTTTCACTCATATCCTTCCCTAGCCCACCGACTGTCAGATGCCTTTAATAAATCCGCTCAGAGTATGGCTACTACCTCCCTAACCACGATCGTAGCATTTCTGTGTAGCGCCATCTCACCTCTCCTGGCTACCAAGTCGTTCGGGGTGTTTGCTGCGATCACTATCTTCTTTAATTATATGTCAGTAATAATTTTCTTCCCTTGTGTTGTTACAGTGTATCATTTAAAGTTTGAACATTTTAAGTGGCCATGTTTTCGTTGTTGTCGTAAGAAAACATCTGATAGCAGTGAAAATGACAAAGTCAACAACAACTCTGTTAAACCGATGCAGAGCATATTCGTTTTATCTGATGGGAAATCGGACATTACAACAAACGAAAAAATTGGACAGACTGTACATAAAGATCTTGATGATTTTCCGCAGAAACAGAATGGACAAGTGCCCAATGGGCATGTGTCTAACGGACATGTGACTAATGGGATAGCCAATGGCCATATGTCCAATGGAATTTCTAATGGTAAAGCCAACACTGTCAACAAGACAGATGGAACGACTTCTAAACCCAACGACAAACAAACGAGACAAACAGATAGGAGCAAGGAGAAGAAGTTGGTTATTTTCTTCCGAGATTACTACTTCCGGTTTATCACGCACAGGATTGCTCGCTGGTGCCTACTTCCTGTGTTTGTTGTTGTTGTCGCAGTATTTGCCTACCAGGCATCCACTCTGGAACCAGACAACGAAAATGTAAGTTAACTCCACAAAGACGTGAACCCTTTAGACCGATATCTTATATCTTAGGGTTTACAACAACCTTGTATTAAAACAATTGCCTTGCGTAACAGTCAGTCCTTCCCTAATAGGTTCTCTGTTAGGTACTTTTAATTAAAAAGCAGCCTTTTTGGTGTTTCTTTTGTGGTATGATTATACGTTTAACATGTCTTAAATGAATGGCATACATGTTTACAGAACAATGCACATTTGTGAACATGTTACAGATGCAAGTATGGAAGGATTCCCACCATTACAGTAAGGCGATAGATGCTGAGCAGTACGACTTCTATGTGAGTGCGGACGAGAACCTGGTCACGGTACACATTCTCTGGGGTCTAAAGAATAAAGACAGGTCCAACTGTCACTTCTCCGATATCACTTGTGTGGGCGACAACGTCTACGACGATTCATTTGACCCAAACCCAGTCGCAAATCAGCAGGCCATCATGGTAAGTATACATCATCTAACCTTTTGACCCGGAATCACTTTTAATAACTTTTGGCAGGTTATCAAGATAATACCTTTCATCATCCATCCATTCCTGTATGTGAGTTTTAGAAGACAATGAATAATTCTACAAATTAAGCTGAAAAGCAGCGGGGTTGAATAAATCGTACTCTTGTATTTAGCTCTTAGTGTAATAGTGTCATGATGGATGTTTATATCCGTTGTCAATGTATCCACAAGCCATCATATCAGCTAAGGACATTACCATGGTGTGGACATGTGGTGATTTACTAAGGAAAACAGTTTATCGTTTTCTGGGAACATAATATTAGATTTATCACCACATGCTTAGCCACGTACAATGTAGCAGTTTGAGGTTTGTTGAATTGTCACTTTCTCGTTTGTAGGATTTCTGTAGTAGTCTGTATAGTATGTCTGCTAGCACACTGGCGGAATACGAGATCAAGACAGATTCCAGTGGTAACCCCGAGATCGCCTGCTTCACCCGGGACCTCACTACATTCCTATCGGTAGGCGTCAATTGGAACTAGCATGGGGCTTACTGTCTCTGCGTTAACTATATAAATAACAAACATGAGAACCATCCATGTGCTAATCATATACCATTATCGTTTAATAAAATACGTGGAACTATTGTGTGATTGATGGCCACTGCCCTTTAAGCGGTGACGGTGTAGATGTTTCCTCAGAATATAACAGACATATCCCATTCAGAGTATTGCATTGTACTTTATGTTTCAGAACATAACGACGGCCCTGTCCATTGACGTGTCACTTCCGTGGGACTACACCAAAGTGTCAAATCTGATGACCGCAGAGTCTACTCATTACGATGTTTCTCAGTTTAACTCCAACTTTCCAAACATATTAGAGGTATGATAAAATAATAAAACCGTTATAATATTTTCTAATATAATAACTGACAAATATCTATCTATCATTGTCTACGGCTACATGCTGACCACAGGTCAATAAAGTACTAGTGTTTTCTATTGTATCTCTAACGAAGAAGAGTTCAAATTTTACGGATTTTTTTCCTGACTCGGAGTTTCTTGCTTTTCTGGATTTAACAGAAGACTGGTGTCATACGTTCTGTTGGACATGTTTGCCCTTCTGGAGCACATAGTATTTCCTATAGTTTTGATGTCACCCCAGTTACCGTGGTAACCGTCATGTCTCTTTTAAGATCAAAATGTGTCATTATGTGTGGACATATTGGTTAATATTTGTTCAGATCCATCCTCTATCTTATCAAATTGTACGAAACAGCTCATAGCGTTTTACTGAAAAAGAACTATACATCTCAAGAATGTTGATAAATTACTGATAAATTGAATATACAAGATACTGTATCCATACAGATTATGTCACAGAAGAGGATATTACATAACATTGGATTTTACAGTTAACTATACACTACCGGTTATTATAAAGTTAATACAGAACCGGATAGTAGAAGGTTACATTGTATTATACAGATAGCTGTACACTAACTGGTACTATAACGTTAACTTAGTTTATACTGTACAGGATGTATAAATGAAAAACATATTGCACAAATAGCTATACAGTTCTCGATATGTTAGAATGTTACATTGTATTGTACAGATAGCTATACAGTTCTCGATATTAGAATGTTACATTGTATTGTACAGATAGCTATACAGTTCTGGATATAAGAATGTTACATTGTATTGTACAGATAGCTATACAGTTCTCGATATAAGAATGTTACATTGTATTGTACAGATAGCTATACAGTTATGGATGTAAGAATGTAACATTGTATTGTACAGATAGCTATACAGTTATCGATATAAGAATGTAACATTGTATTGTACAGATAGCTATACAGTTCTCGGTATAAGAATGTTACATTGTATTGTACAGATAGCTAAACAGTACTGGATATAAGAATGTTACATTGTTTTGTACAGATAGCTATACAGTTCTCGATATAAGAATGTTACATTGTATTGTACAGATAGCTATACAGTACTGGATATAAGAATGTTACATTGTATTGTACAGATAGCTATACAGTTCTGGATATAAGAATGTTACATTGTGTTGTACAGATAGCTATACAGTTCTCGATATATTAGAATATTACATTGTATATTGTACAGATAGCTATACAGTTCTGGATGTAAGAATGTTACATTCTGTTGTACAGATAGCTTTACAGTTCTGGATATAAGAATGTTACATGGTGTTGTACAGATAGCTATACAGTTCTCGATATAAGAATGTTACATTGTGTTGTACATAAAGCTATACAGTGTTTGATATAAGAATATTACATTGGATATTGTACATATAGCTATACAGTTCTGGATATAAGAATGTTACATGGTGTTGTACAGATAGCTATACAGTTCTAGATATAAGCCCGTTACATTGTATTGTACAGATAGCTATACAGTTCTGGATGTAAGAATGTTACATTGTGTTGTACAGAAAGCTATACAGTGTTTGATATAAGAATATTACATTGTATATTGTACATATAGCTATACAGTTCTGGATGTAAGAATGTTACATTGTGTTGTACAGATAGCTATACAGTTCTAGATATAAGAACGTTACATTGTATTGTACAGATAGCTATACAGTACCGGATATTAAAATGTTGCATGGTATTATACAGATAGCGGTGCAGTACTGGATGTACAATGGCTATGCTAAGACATTCACAGATGACTACGCCACATACAACAGTATGTTTGGGGAGGAGAAGGGGGCGTGGTCTAAGCAGCTCCTGTCTGACACGTGTAAGTTTACGCATTTTTTCCTAAAAGAAATAATGTGGGGGGAGTACTCAAGATGTGGATCGATGTTGCTTTCTTTTAAAGCTCATGTAAGACATAGGGACCTATAGACTTTAGATATTTGAGATAAATGGTATAACATTTAGATTTGTGATATACGATATATTTTTTAAATAAATTACATAGCTTTTTTTTGCAATTGGCGCCAAGTTACTTAGTAGCGGAATTTTCTTGCGATATAAATTGCTAGATTTAAGGGTCAACTTCAATAAGCAGATCCTCATTACAATTGACTAGAATTAATGTGTTGATGTTTGCAAATACAATAAGAACGTGATGTATTTATTGCAGCCATTTACTACGGTAACAAGATGAAGTACATGATGGTATCTATCAACACGACCATTAATAGGTTCACCACGGGCTACGCCGAGGGTATTCCGAAGGTGGAGAGGTGGGAAAACTTCATACAGTCAGAGGTAAGTCCGCTCAATATAACAGCCTCACAATACGGGTGGGGCTACGCCGAGGGTATTCTTAAGGTTGAGAGGTGATGAAACTTTACATAGTCAGAGGTAAGTCCGCTCAATACAACAGCCTGACAATAACGGGCGGTGGTGCTACACCGAGGGTATTCCTAAAGTGGAAAAAATGGGAAACTGTATACAGCCAGAGGTAAGTCCGCTCAATACAACAGCTTCACAATATACGGGCAGGGCTTCACCGAGGATTTTACAACGGTGAAGAAGTGGGAAAACTCCATACACTCGGAGATAACTCCGCTCAGTACAACAGCCGCACACTAAGTGCGGGGCTATGCCAATGGTATTCTAAGGCGGAGATGTGAGAAAGCTTCGTATACACTTGGGGTAAGTCCGCTCATCACAAAAGCCGCACATTACGAATGGGGCTACGCCGAGGGCATTACCACACGGAAGTAGTGGGAAAACTGTATACGCTCGGAGGTAAGTCCACTCATTATAACAGCCTCACACTACGGGCGGGCGACGCCGAGGGTATTCTTGAGGTGGAAATACTCAATACACACGGAGGTATGTCCGCTCAATACTATGATTCATCCCAAATATCAAATCAGCGAAATTGGAAAACTCGTGCAGAATGAAGATGTTTTTGTTAAATAACGAATCTCCAGAAAATAATTTTCAGAATTGTAGTGTCTTTCTTAATCTATATCGAATTTTGTTTTGTACAGGTTGGTAAGATGCCTACAGGATTACAGGGAGGTTTCCAGCTTACGCGGAGTATATGGCATTGGCTGTACATACAAAAGGTAGGTCGGTTTCAGCAGTTCACATTACAACCCAGTTTGTTGATGCTGCTAGATGTATTATTCTGCTGTGGTATACAGAAGGTGTTATGATCATAGCTGTTTTTATTTAATTATGGTGTCTCTGTCAACAAACCAAAAGCCTAAAATCGGCGGCAAATTATTTGCATGGATTGCATCCAACTGCATATATATCTTTCTTTCGCGTCTTTCAAAATGTGTGTGGAGACGGCTCCTGGTGCTTAATTGCCTCTCATTTATGCCAGTATATAGAGCTACTTTGCTCTTTTGATGAATTGATTTGTCATTTTCCCGTTGTAGGAGATGGAGAAGAATGCTGTGACGGGTATCGCAGTGGGCGTGTCCCTAGCCTTCCCCATCCTCTGTCTGTCGACCATGAACGTCATAGTTGGCAGCCTTGCCACGCTGTCCATCTGTTGTACCACTATCTGTGTCATCGGGGTCATTCCAACGGCAGGGTGGAGACTCGGGGTAAGTGGTCGGAGTGAGCTGTGAATTAACGTTAATTGGAAAGCTGTACACTTTATATACTTTGTAATTCACTGTAGTGTACAAAAGACAAAACTTGGCTAGTTTTACCGCAGTGGCGTTTATGTACAGGGATTGTTGGCTGTTACTCAGGCTCAATCATGGCTACCTGGCATGACGCTGGCTAATACACACGTTGTATCCACTGCTCTGTCTAAATACTGGCGTAACATTTGTTATGTGAACTCTCAGCGAGTCTGTTTAACTGCAGCTTGCTTAATTATTTCTTCAGTTGTAATGTTCGAAGCTAAGAAAGTCTTTTTCAAACCTTCCCGTGAACCCTCTGTGTCGCCTGCACTAGGTCCCATTTAGATATGTGCCACAATGTTAGGGCAACAGCTTTCTTCAAACTCCTCTGTACCGTTTGTCGCAAGTTATTCAAACATCTGTTCGTCAAACCATGGGATCTTTTCACTATCACCTTATCCAGAATATGTTTCGGTGGAGATGGAACCTGCCACACGTTTCAATAAGATTGCAAACCATTCCGTCCATCTTCAAATGCTGTGGTCGTTTCTATCATTAAACTATAAACCCATCTAAATATCCTCACAACACTAAAGGATGTTATCACGAGAGGCAAGCTTTCCATTCTTTAATAATAATTAATACTTTGCCAGAGTGTCTATAAATTACAAACTTATGAAGGGTCTCAAATGTGCTGGTAACTACTGACACTAGATAACAGTTTCTATCACATAGACAATAGCTTGACAGTGAAATATTACAATCCGACATTATTTTCTGTAAAATTGTACCATAAGTGAAGCTAGCACCAAATTTCACAACCGACCAAACATCATATTATAACCAAATATAATAATTATAATGTTTATTTCAGGAAATAGATCATAGACATCACATGTAACATGACAGTTGACATACATATAACAGTACCACATACATATATATTGCTAAAAAAAATAAACAGAATATCACAGGTTTTTGGGGCAGTCCAAGGAGCAGGTGAATTGGGGCATCCCCTTCCTACAAGCTCTCCGGGCGCTCAAATATTAATGAATCTACATGCATTAAATTATCGTCAGTAATAAAAAATTGTATTATCTTAAAATATTATATTATATATGAAACTAAAATTCATAACTGATTTTAAGATATAGGTTATTATATTTATACAATTAATACTACACAAACATTTATCTATAAACCTGAGGATAGCCCATGAAAGCTCGAAAGCTTATTTACAATGGGGTCCATGTTATATTGATCACGGGGAAAGATTTTGGCAGGAGGGAATGAATGACAACATATTAACTTAAATATAACTTAAATATAAGTATCTATTTATAACTTGTTTTTTTATAAACGATGAGCACATTTACGGGGTATTTATTTAGGCTTGATTGCTATTGTCATGTAAATAAAGTGATACATTGTTATACCTTTTAGATCTATTATAACCAATGTAACATACTACTAAAGTAGTTTATCTACACAAAAGTCGTTGCCAGTATAGTTATATATGTTGTTTTATATTTTAGCTGCTGACGTCATTAAATATGACCATGCTCGTGGGATTAGCGGTGGATTACGTTGTGCATCTGGCGGAGGGATACAGAAACTCGCTGCATAAGGACCGCCTCCACAGAACACGTGACATGTTGGAGGAGATGGCCACCTCGGTGTTTTCTGGCGCGTGCACGACTCTTGGTGCTGCTCTCTTTATGTTTTTGGCGAAAATAACTTTTTTTATGCAGTTCGGCATCTTTTTGTTCTGCACAATTGGATTTTCATTATTTTTTTCCCTTGGTCTTTTCTCCGTTTTGATGGGGTTGATAGGCCCTCAAAATGACACCGGTTCCCTAAGGCCAATTTTTAATTTCATAAAAAGAACACTTAAAAAATGTCTATGTTGGAGGAAATCAAAAGTCGTGAATATTGAGAATGGAGATAGCATCAACAATACCACACATCAGAAGTGAACCAGTGAAGGCAGTATTTTAATTGCCTTTAGAGAAATATTTTTATACGACAAAGACGTCAGATTAATGTATTTACGGCGTACCACATAATGTATCGCATCATTTATGTTCCTACAGTAAACCTTCAATACAGTGTGAAGGCTTAAAGAGTATTCAGGAGTGAAATAAAATACATTGCTGTGACAGTGCTGATTGGACAGTGTATTCAGCTGTAAGGTAAAATATATTGCTGCGACAGTGCTGATTGGACAGTGTATTTAGATATGAAGTAAAATACACTGCTGTGACAGTGCTGATCGGACAGTGTTTTTAGATATGAAGTAAAATACATTGCTGTGACAGTGCTGATTGGACAGTGTATTTAGATATGAAGTAAAATACACTGCTGTGACAGTGCTGATTGAACAGTGTACCGGGCTAGTACTGTAGTACGAGTCATTAAACAAGACTGTGATAACCACCACTGCTAACCATTTGATAAATGAGTACGTATCTTTGTTATTGTTAAGGGAGTTGTGTTACCAGAATATTTGTTAATCATTGATAAAATCGTTGTGTTGTTGACATAATTATGAAAACTTGTTGATCGTTAAACATACTGTTAGTTACTTTATGACATGACTTAAAGCATTATTCGTCGTTCATCGCCTGCTATAAATTACCGTGCACATTATTTGATCTGTATTTAGAGAGGATCTTACATTAGTGTTCATGTCATATTCAATCTATTGAACGAGTTTAATAAATTAAATATGACATGGACACGAATGTAAAATTGTATTTATCACGTAACATTCATAGTTTAAAAAATAAAAAATAAACCAATCATGTTATACCAGCTCACTCTGTAAAGGTCAAACCCAAAGTGATCCGATCATACTGCTCTCTTGTTTAGCGCAGTGGAAAGTAGTTCCATATTATATTTTTGATAATGAACAGTTTTCAATGCAATGAAACTAATAATGACAAAAAAGACATTTCAAATTCATTCAGTAGCGAAACATTGAACTTTATCAGAAAAAAATAGTAATTTAAGCTGAAAATTTTAGTGGCGTAGTAATATGTTCCTACGGATTTGACCAATCGCAGCACTTTAAGGTTTTATAACACGTGTGTAATACCCTTGTTTATGACATAGTAAAATGGGCCATAATACAGGATTTCGTATTAATCCGTTGGCCAAATCTCCTCGTACATCCATGCCAGATGAGCACATAAGTGTAATAGTCTTTTATACTTAAACATATAATCATGTTTGTGTCAATGTACATCTCTGACGTGTCATACCTTGTACATTACTGACATGTCATACACTGTACATCACTGACATGCTATACACTGTACATCTCTGACGTGTCCCACACTGTACATTACTGACGAGTCATACATTGTACATCAATGACGTGTCATACAATGTACATCGCTGACGTATCATACAATGTACATCTCTGACGTGTCATACACTGTACATCTCTGACGTGTCATACCTTGTACATCACTGACGTGTCGTACACTGTACATCACTGACATGCTATACACTGTACATCACTGACATGTCATACACTGTACATTACTGACGAGTCATACAATGTACATCGCTGACGTATCATACAATGTACATCGCTGACGTATCATACAATGTACATCGCTGACGTATCATACAATGTACATCGCTGACGTATCATACAATGTACATCTCTGACGTGGCATAGACTGCGAGTCTATGTCGTGTCATACCTTGTCAATCACTGACGTGTCATACACTGTCCATCTCTGACGTGTCATACCTTGTACATAACTGACGTGTTATATGCTGTACATCACGTACATGCCATACACTGTACATCACTTGCGTATCATACATTGTACATTACTAGTGTACCACACACTGTACAACACTGACGTGTCATACACTGTACATCACTGACGTGTCATAAACTGTACAGCACTGACGTGTCATACACTGTACATATCTGACGTGTCATACACTGTACACCAATGACGTGTCAGACAATGTACATCTCTGACGAGTCATACACTGTACATCACTGACGAGTCATACATTGTACATCACTGAAATGTCATACACTGTGTATCAATAACGAGTCATACATTGTACATCACTGAAATGTCATACACTGTGTATCAATAACGAGTCATACATTGTACATCACTGAAATGTCATACACTGTACATCACTAACGAGTCATATATTGTACATCACTGACGTGTCCCACACTGTACATCACTGTCGTGTCATACCTTGTACATCACTGAAATGTCATACACTGTGTATCAATAACGAGTCATACATTGTACATCACTGAAATGTCATACACTGTACATCGCTGACGTGTCATACACTGTACATTACTGACAAGTCATACCTTGAACATCACTGACATGTCATACACAGTACATATCTGACGTGTCATACACTGTACATCTCTGTCGTGTCATACCTTGTACATCACTGGCGTGTCGTACACTGTACATCACTGGCATGCTATACACTGTACATCACTGACATGTCGTACACTGTACATCATCGAAGTGTCATAAACAGTACATTGTACATCGTTGACATGTCATACACTGTACATCTCTGACTTGTCAGACAATGTACATCACTGACGTGTCATACCTTGAACATCACTGACGTGTCATACACTGTACATCTCTGACCTGTCAGACAATGTACACCACTGACGTGTCATACACTGTACATCTCTGACCTGTCAGACAATGTACACCACTGACGTGTCATACACTGTACATCTCTGACCTGTCAGACAATGTACATCACTGACGTGTCGTACACTGTACATCACTGACATGTCATACACTGTTCATCTCTGACGTGTCATACACTGTACATCACGCACGTGTCGTACACTATACATCACTAACGTGTCATACACTGTACATCACTGACGAGTCATACATTGTACATCGCTGACGTATCATACAATGTACATCTCTGACGTGTCATACACTGTACATCTCTGACGTGTCATACCTTGTACATCACTGACATGTCATACACTGAACATCACTGACATGTCATACACTGTACATATCTGACGTGTCATACACTGAACATCACTGACATGTCATACACTGTACATATCTGACGTGTCATACACTGTACATTACTGACGTGTCATACAATGTACTTCACGGACGTGTCATACCTTGTACAACACATATATGTCATACACTGTACATCTCTGACGTGTCATACACTGTACATCTCTGACGTGTCAGACAATGTACATCTCTGACGTGTCATACACTGTACATCACTGACGTGTCATACACTGTACATCACTGACGTGTCAGACAATGTACATCACTGACGTGTCATACACTGTACATCACTGACGTGTCAGACAATGTACATCTCTGACGAGTCATACACTGTACATCACTGACATGTCATACACTGTACATCACTGATTTCATACCTTGTACATCACTGACGTGTCAGACAATGTACATCACTGACCTGTCGTACACTGTACATCACTGACATGTCGTACACTGTACATCATCGACGTGTCATACCTTGTACATCATTGACGTGTCATACACTGTACATCACCGCCGTGTCATAACTTGTACATCACTGACGTGTCATACACTGTACATATCTGACGGGTCACATACTATACATTATACATCACTGACGTGTCATGCACTCTACATCACTGACATGTCATACACTGTACATCACCGCCGTGTCATAAACTGTACATCTCTGACGGGTCACATACTATACATTATACATCACTGACGTGTCATGCACTCTACATCACTGACATGTCATACACTGTACATCACCGCCGTGTCATACACTGTACATCTCTGACGTGTCATACACTTTACATCACTGACGTGTTATATGCTGTACATCACGTACATGCCATACACTGTACATCACTTGCGTATCATACATTGTACATCACTGGTGTACCACACACTGTATAACACTGACGTGTCATACACTGCGCATCATGCTTGTGCCATACAATGTCAGTGGCATACACTGTTATAAGTTAGTTATGGCTATAACATGAAAGCATGCCCTGTCAATACATAGAATATTAAGTATGAAGTCAGATTAAACAGAGGACCATACACAGTAGTTTATTGTACTGTTACATATTGAAATAACATGAATTACAGAGAACAGGGCAACTAGTATACATATTATACTTATAATCAGTTTTACAACGATATCTGTGTGACTGATTTTCTCTTTGCAGAGGAGACTTACATGTATACGCTGACCAACTGATCAATTTAATTGCTTTGGAGCTTTGGTATGGTGTGACAGAGACTAGGTGCATTGTGTGATGTGACAGGGGCGTTTGTGAATTGTTTAGGGGCGTGTTCACTTGACTTCTCTTCACACTTAAGTGCTGCGACCACTAACTGTATCAGATATTATGTTAGGATTGTTGTTTAATGTAACTGTCATGTTTCATAACTTAAACATTCCATTTTATGACTCAATGCAATGACTAATAAATCATTACTACGATACTATGTTATTGCAGTAGTTTTATTCTGTGTGTAAAAAGTTCATTCGGTTTTCATTTGAAACTCAAATTGTCAATTCCTTTCCTTTTTATTGAAGTTATATTTCAACTTAAAAATATAATAATAATAGAATATGTTGACGTCGTTATCCACATTGTCGACATATGCAAATCGATGGCAGAATTACGCTACCATACAAGCCTTTTAAGATGGAGCATAAATATATCAGAATCCGCTGTTTTAGTACTTAAATATGAACATCATTGTTCTACTACGAGTCAACAGTCAAATGTATTGGATGTGCAGTTCCCGTGCCAAGTTGAAGGTTAAAAACATGTTTCCCCTATATAGCTATATTTGATGCATTTCTACATATTGTTTTTATCATGTCTACGGTGACGCTATTGAAACGAAAATTAACATTAATTAAATTTCACAGTATGTTCACTTCTTTCCATCTAGCGGTTTTCAAGATGTGACGAATGATTTAAAGGAAATTTACATTGTTACGACATTTAGTGGTCTTACAAAAGTTCAACAGTAAAAATTGAGATTAATTACCATAATTTAAAAACCGATTAAGACAAAATATAAAATTAATATGAAGAATATTCGAACCCCATTCTCTATCATGACGCACTTCTTCTATAGCACTTGGGTTGACTTCGTTAGTGTTCACTTCCAAATTAACACAAACATGTAATAAAGAACAAACTACCAGCTTGTGATATTTATTTGGAAATGAGACTGTAAGTTATGAAATTATCTGATCAGAAAGTAAACATATTAGACAGATATTAACAAAGATAAGAGGAGTAGCAGAATGGGATTCAAGAAGTGTATATATAGCAATGCCAAATGAAACAGGGAAACAAATGTTAAATATCAGTAAACAACGTATAAAAACACACGAGAATGTTGAGGGAACAAAATGAATCGGTGGAAAGCAGAATATAAACAATGGGGAACAATGTACTACACGGTAACAAAAAAAATAATTGAAAACAATGGACTAAATTAGTTAATATTGGCAAACAAAGTATAAACAATTGAAATCAATGGACTAGACTGATTAATATTGGCAATCAAAATATAAACAATTGAAATCAATGGACTAGACAGATTAATATTAGCAAATAAATTATAAACAATTGCAATTAATGGACTACATAGGTTAATATTGGCAAACAAAGGATAAACAACTGCAATTAATGGAATAGACTGATTAATATTGGCAAGCAAAATATAAACAACTGCAATTAATGGACTAGACTGATTAATATTGGCAATCAAAATATAAACAATGAAATCAATGGACTGCACTGGTTAATATTGGCAAGCAAAATATAAACAACTGCAATTAATGGACTAGACTGATTAATATTGGCAACCAAAATATAAACAATGAATCAATGGACTTCATTGGTTAACATTGGCAAACAAAGTATAAATAACTGCAATTAATGGACTAGACTGATTAATATTGGCAATCAAAATATAAACAACTGCAATTAATGGACTAGACTGATTAATATTGGCAACCAAAATATAAACAATGAAGCAATGGACTTCATTGGTTAACATTGGCAAACAAAGTATAAATAACTGCAATTAATGGACTAGACTGATTGATATTGGCAATCAAAATATAAACAACTGCAATTAATGGACTAGACTGATTAATATTGGCAATCAAAATATAAACAATTGAAATCAATGGACTAGACAGATTAATATTGGCAAATAAATTATAAACAATTGCAATTAATGGACTACCTTGGTAAATATTGGCAAACAAAGTATAAACAACGAAAATCTATGGACTACTTTGGTTAATATTGGCAAACAAAGTATAAACAACTGCAATTAATGGGCTAGACCGATTAATATTGGCCATCAAAATATAAACAACTGAAATTAATGGACTAGACTGATTAATATTGGCAAATAAATTATAAACAATTGCAATTAATGGACTCCCTTGGTAAATATTGGCAAACAAAGTACAAACAACGAAAATCTATGGACTACTTTGGTTAATATTGGCAAACAAAGTATACACAATAAAAAACAATCGACTTCATTGGCTAATATTGGCAAATAAAGTATAAACAACTGCAATTAATGGAATAGCCTGATTAATATTGGCCATACAAATATAAACAACTGCAATTGATGGACTAGACTGATTAATATTGTCAAATAAATTATAAACAATTGCAATTAATGGACTCCCTTGGTAAATATTGGCAAACAAAGTATACACAATAAAAAACAATCGACTTCATTGGCTAATATTGGCAAATAAAGTATAAACAACTGCAATTCATGGAATAGACTGATTAATATTGGCAAGCAAAATATAAACAACTGCAATTAATGGACTAGACTGATTAATATTGTCAAATAAATTATAAACAATTGCAATTAATGGACTCCCTTGGTAAATATTGGCAAACAAAGTATACACAATAAAAAACAATCGACTTCATTGGTTTATATTGGCAAACACAGTATAGATAATTGAAATCAATGGACTTCATTGGTTAACGTTGGCAAACAAAGTATAAACAACGAAAATCTATGGACTACTTTGGTTAATATTATTAATGGACTAGACTGATTAATATTGTCAAATAAATTATAAACAATTGCAATTAATGGACTACATAGGTTAATATTGGCAAACAAAGTATACACAATAAAAAACAATCGACTTCATTGGCTAATATTGGCAAATAAAGTATAAACAACTGCAATTCATGGAATAGACTGATTAATATTGGCAACCAAAATATAAACAATGAAATCAATGTACTTCATTGGTTAATATTGGCAATCAAAATATAAACAATGAAAAACAATGGACTTCATTGGTTAACATTCGCAAACAAAATATAAACAACTGCAATTGATGGACTAGACTGATTAATATTGGCCATCCAAATATAAACAACTGCAATTGATGGACTAGACTGATTAATATTGGCCATCAAAATATAAACAACTGCAATTAATGGACTAGACTGATTAATATTGGCAATCACAATATAAACAATGAAAAACAATCGACTTCATTGGTTAATATTGGCAAATAAAGTATAAACAACTGCAATTAATGGACTACTTTGGTTAATATTGGCAAACAAAGTATAAACAATAAAAAACAATCGACTTCATTGGTTTATATTGGCAAACACAGTATAGATAATTGAAATCAATGGACTTCATTGGTTAATATTGGCAAACAAAGTACTTGTATAAACAATGGAAAACAATTGACAGCATGGGTTAAAATTGACAATGGTACATAAGATCAACGCCGTAGTTACTCATCCTGTTTGTCAAGATGGATTGTGACGTAGAGGTCCGGTGACATTTAATCCCTGACGAAGGGCTAAGCCCAAGATTGGAAAAAGAGTGACCTTTTAGTTAGTTATCAATGAGTAAGTACACAGGTATATTTCATTTAGTGTAAACATAATTTTTTTTAATTCATACAGAATGTAAACAAATTTACATACGGATATACAGAAACAGGATATAATTGCAAGCCCTAAGTGTTACTTATGTATTAATTTATGCAACTGTTTATTATTAAAATGTGTCTTAATTGAAGTTATTTTAATTGGCAAATAATATTCTTAATAACATTCAATATATCACAATAACTGTAAGAATTTGTATTGGAAATATGTTTTTGAAGCATGGATAATCTTATCAAATAAACACTTTGTATATCATTCTCCAGATACATTTGCCAAAACACCAATATGGTATAATAATGTAATTAAAGTAGATAACCAGGGTATTTTTTTTTTATCGGGATTGGTACAATAAAGGAATTATTATTATTAGCGACTTCATCAATAAAGACACTAATTTGTTTTACTCTTTTCAGGAATTTCAACAGTTCTTTGGTATAAATACAAACTTTCTAATTACCAAGGACTTATTTCAGATATTCGAAGACATATACAGAAACAAGATTTACCGTATCCTATCTATCATTTCATACCAATTAATCTAGAAATACTTTTCCGCAGTAAAAAAAAGGGACATTTTTTTTTATTATTTACTCAGTAAAAATAATATAATATCTACTGGTAGAAAAAAATCGGATGACATTTTTAATTTTGATAATGAAACATGGAGGAAAATATATAAAATGCCTTTTCATATAACCAAAAATTCAAAACTACAGTGGCTTCAATTTGCTGAAGTTTATTTTAAGATTACTACTTACAGTTATAATATGTAATGTTATTGGTCACTAGTATAGGAGTTGTTTTGTATCCATTTTTCCTATCCATAAGACATCAAAATATGTTTTTAGCTACTTAATTGAAGTCATTTTAATCGGCAAATAATATTGTGTTAATAACACCATGGATATCACTCCATGCTGCTTTGATTTCCCTTTTCCCAGTCTCAACATTATTTCTATATTTATTTCAATGTACGTATTATTACTATAGTGTCGAGTATCTATGTGATAACGTTTGAGCCGATTTTTATGTATGTTATTATCTCCCTTTTACATAATTTTTCTTTTGATATGTTTGCGACCCTAAATAAAGTTTCATGCATCTTGTACAGTCAAAGAAAAATCATAAGAATCGCATTTAATAAGTTTACAGACATATACGCTTATTATAGTAGAGAGTTTTAAACAATTTTGTAATAAATGTTGAAACAACTGCATCGGCCACACAAAGGCAAGGAGCCCGGAAGTTAAACTCGCACATGCGTAGCAATAACGCGCGAAATGAGAAATGGAAGTAGACTGTAGACATTCGTCGATGGTTCTTTTACAGTAAACAAAATTGCAGAAGAAGAAAAAAGAAAGAAAAATCAACACTATGGAGGAGCCACAGAACACAGAGGTAGGTTTAATAATATATCCAGGAACGCTGTAATAGCTTTGCTTTTTATCCGATTAAAAAAATCCTGAATCAGTCTTCTGCAAAATGTAAACAACGCGCGACAACAATAATAAAATTAGAAACTCTCCGTCTCGCTATTCAATAACATGGACAAAAATCGTAATATATGAACATTATAACTTTGTAATTAATATGTACTATTTGGAGTCTGGTGTAGAGGATCAGAAATGAAACTCTACAAGAAATAAGCTTATCATTTAGCTTACATGTTCGCCCCGGGGTCGTTGTTTCGCCATAAAAGTGTTTAGGCTGATTATTTTGTAGCCAGTTAAAGTAGTGTTGTGCTTATAGTCACATTAAAGTCTTCCTTAGTCTTCTTAATGATAGACCTGTACCACAATGTCCATCTACATGCATACGGACGGTATGCTGCTCCATCAAAGACTTGACTAGACAAAGGTGATTATATCCCTAGTGCGATCATCCTTGAATACGGCGCCATTATTTGGGACCCTTATACCAAAAAAGAAACCGACAAACTGGAACGAATACAGCGCTTGGCAGCCAGATTCATCTCAAATGACTACAGATCCAGGGAAGATGGATGTATCACAGGGATGCTGGAGAAACTCGGAACTACCAACACTCCAGGTCAGGCGAGCACAACAGAGGGTCACATTTATGTACAAGGTGGTTGAGGGGTTGATACCAGCTATACCTTCAGCTGAACATCTAACAAAAAACAGACCAAAAAGGAACATCAAGGCCAGAAACTTCTCGGACTATATATCGAATGATGTGGTGGAAGCATCAGTTATAAATAACACAAAATCTTATACAGTACCAAAGTACAACTGTGATCAATATAAAAACTCACTCTTCGTACGTACAGTTATAGAGTGGAACCACCTGGAAGATGACGTAGTATGTGCCCCTAATTTGGAGGCCTTTAAGAGTGCTATATAACGCACCAAAAATCAAACTGAGCTGCTCTCTCTCTCCCGTTGTATAAAAACCGGAACCGGGTACTGCAACGTACTGATACAGATGATACAGATCTCAACACAACATTATAATAAACCATAAGTTCTTAGAACTGTTAAACAAAATTGATTGTGAAACATAAAAACAGGAACGTTAATCATTAAAAACATTTAACATGTTATTTATTTAACTTTAAACAGTTATGTTTATATATATACATTTATAATACACAATTATGTTTATATATATACAGTGCCAACAGAATTGGGAGAAACAAACGTAGTGTGAACTGGATTTTTGGCAAAACAAACCGGATTAATTTTCATTCCTTACAAATAACTAACTCCTGTGGTTTATGTACAACTCAATCCATCAATATTACATTGAATGTTTCAATAAAATGTTTCAATTGGTTTTGCAGACTGTGGGAGTGGAGGTGATGGTGAAAGAGGTTGACTCACTAGAGAAGGCTGACTCAGGAATGGATGAGGACAGCCAACACTCTTCTGTACAGGACAAATCAGAAACAACAAGTAAATAATGGCTACTTCAAATGGTTGAGCGACTGTACAAAACAAACTGTCAAGTAGATGTATATATCTTACTATAGTTGTCACATGTGTATGTCCCCGGAAGCTAGGCTAAGTTATATGTGTAATTACATTTCTGAAACTTGTATTTAAATGATGAATTCTAGACTTTTGGTACCAGCAAATTTTGATACCTAAATATTTGATGTTTCAGTACTTTTTTGTAAAGACAAAAAAACACTGAATACCAAGAGAAAACATAGCTTTTCTCCGCATACTCTAGCTTCCTACCACATTAGGACCCTGAAGTTGATCAAATAGCTTGTTTTATAAGGCACACTTAGTGTGCAGTGATAATATTCCAATGAAGTACTTCAGAAACTCAGGAAAATTAAACAATACTTTGATGCATGTGAGTAAAGGACAGAAAAATCTTATGTACGTAATATAGCGAAACAGACTTCGTATAAATCCATTTACATCAATAATATAACCAAAATGAGAGACTGGTCACTTGGGTTCATGTACGTAGAAAATATATTATTTTTTATTGATATGCGTTGCTGTAGGTAGGTGCTATATGGTAAAGCAGATTTTTATGTCAGCACCATAAATTTCAAGAATTCCAAGTTTTTTACATGGAAGTGCACTCTGGCCCCACACCTGACATCTATTAGTATTGATATATCTGTCAATATGTCAAAAGTATGGTATTCAGACAAGAAGAACAGTGTTCCCAAAAAACCCAAATGAGGCGTGTTCATCCTCAAAACAGTTGGTTGTTATCAACCCCCAGTTTTCAAAGATTGTCCTATGTAACTAAGTAATAAAATATACCCCAAATATAAAATTCAGTGGGAACACTGGAAGAAACTAGGACTAGGAATACCAAGGCCTTTGGTCCGTAGTTGATGCGAGCAATGTATCATTACTATGGGATTCATACCTACAAAATATGTTGAGTTGACAAATATGTAGACAAACATTGCACACACATTATATTATACATTTATAACCTTATTAAGATCTGTCTTACAGAACTACTAGAAGGCGATGCTTCTGTTCACTATGACATAATTATAACCTTCCAGTTATTGAAGGTCGTCATTTGCTAATTGTAGAATATTTAATGAAATGATCTGGAAATACACTAAATGCAAATTAATAGTATTTCATTAATGAAATGAATGTCTATATATTTTTTTTTAGATGCTGGAGAGATAAGTGACAATGACAAAAATCCTGCTCTACGATTAGAAGACAGTGACGATAGTGATGACGAAGACATTACAATAAAGCCAAAGAAGAGAGTAAGTGTTTTAGTGTAAAGGCTCCCTGTAAATATGTGGATGTGAACTTATAAAGGTGGACACAAAAAGAGAACATATGATTATTTTAGTAAACATATAATAATTTTCCCTCAGAGTTACATATTTGGGCTTGTCTCTTGCTCAGTCTTTTGTGCGAAAAGGGCGACCAGTGCTTTTTGTCGGTTAATTAAAAATACACAATGACAGTGACTAAGCTTGTTCAACAATATCTTGTCTGAGAAATAATCACATGTAAACTCATTAATGGGACTGTGGGACTTAGCAGTAATGTAAATCACTAAATCTTTGCTTTTATAGATGAAGACAATATTGGATGATGAGGAGGAGGAGGAGGATTCCTCCATTCCTGGTATGTTACCTGAGCAGATTTCCTGACAAAAAGATGTTCATTTCCTTCTTAACTGTCCTTTATGTGAATGATCACAAACATTACAAACAACCTACTTAACTTGTATAAATCCACTACATGTATATGATTTGTTTTTAAAAATGTCCATATTTTTGAAAAATCATTTAATATTAAAATGACAGCAAATAAAATTATAAAAACAGTATTCAGGAAATAGGAGTAAAAATAAAGTCCATGCATATTCCCAGAACTTAATTTTGCTTTTCCTGTTTTCATTAGTTAAAACAGATAGTATGTGAATAAAAATGAAGAAAATAGCATTCTTGTATAAGGCAGTTGGAGTATCAATCTCACTTAAATGTTTTAACAATTCTTGCAGGTCCTTCAGATGAGTCGAAAAACAAAAACAAGGTTGAAAAAGTAAGTACAATAATGGGTCTCAATTTGCTACATTATGGTAAAAAGATCAAAAACTTAAAAAATATAATGATCAATCTGAAAGTGGGAAGTAAGTGCTATTACAGAATTTACTGTACTGGATAGGATGCTTTAAAATTCAAAATGACTAAATTTTGAATACAGTGTTGAATTTGCGATTTGGTAATTGTAAAATATATGTCTAGTGTCACTTGTCAGACTAAAAAAAATGTTTATTGTGTTGAATTTGTTGCTTCACCTTGTAGCAAAATTCACAAATTTGATACCTGGCACTGTGACAATAATAGCCATGTTTACGAACAATAATATTTCTAAATTTTTTATTTGACAATAACTAACAAAATAAGTACTGGACTGAGCTTTTCCTGCTACAAATATTCTGGTGACATTTAACACTGTATGTGACTGTTACAGACAGCAGAGGAAGTTTTGGATGCTGTTCTCAACTCTAATGATACTGATGAAGGTAAATACTTTTTCCTTACATCTTTACTTGGAAAGTATTTGTCAACGGGTTTCATATATGCCTATTCTATAAACCCACATTTAGAGAAAGATGTTTGATAATTGCTATGGACATTTAAAGGCTCCACTATCCGTTGTATTGAAGTCATTGCAGGTAATTCTGAATTCATAAAAATCAAGCCCCATCAAATGTTTAATTGTATAATTGATCACATGTTCCAGATTCTGACAGTGAGAGTAGTGACAACGAGTCACTAAAGGCTGTCGCACAGAAGAAGAGAAAGGTATGGACAATTGAAATATCTTGTCGGTCCAAGTATTACTAAATTTTGTTATATAGACTGATTCCTTTAACCTAATACAGCCATTACATCAACTTTTTCATCTTGCTCTATCTGACCAATAAAAATGAAAACAAATATTTTGGGATACTTGAATTGGTGGACATTTATGGAACAAAGACCATTCATAAATACAGTATATAAGGTGGGCAGTGTTGGTATTATATTATGATATCTTAAAATATTCTGTCTCTCCACCTGTGGCAGTTCTTTGTCCCTCTCAGCAAACTCCCAAAGAGAGATAAAAGTTCAGTTCTTTGTTGCTGTGAAACTTAATCAATTAAATCATATCCTGTGTCATTTCGAACTGCTGCATTCTAAAAGTACAATCACAGAAGCACCCTGACCAGTGACACTCGTTACATATAACTAATCATCCTGTTTTATCAACCTCAGTTCGATGGCCGTAAGTTCTAGGGGTAATTAGGTAAGACTTGACTGATTTAGTGCTTCTTTGTGAGGTGTTATAAAATGTTATTTGTAGTACTGATATAAAAAGTTCCCATTGTTCTCTAAGGTAGACCATTGCCCTAAAGAGAAACATCATGGGTCAGTATTATATGATAAGGGGACCAGGCAGGGTCCTGTGCCTTCAGAGGGATCAGATAGTAAATATTGGGGGTTGGAGAGACAGTTCCACTCAAAGAGAGATAGTTGACATGTATGTTATCCAGTAGTGATGTGTGAACTGAGAATGGTTTAAACTTTACTTACTTGCACCTTTCAGAAGTTGCCGATCCTGGATGAGTCGAGCAATGGTTCTAGTGTCTCAAGCAGAGGTTAGTGTGGTTATATGGTATTTTAATGAGATTCGGAAACTACCAGGTTTTTAATCATATCTTCATGTATTCCAAAAATTGTCAAAACATATTTTTGTGTTACTGTACTATTAGTAGGTGTTCAAACTCTACGGAAAAAGCATAACTTTTAATTTGAGATAAAATGAGGCCAATATAGAAAATTGGTTTTACTGAACTTGTAGAATCTCTTCTTGTTTTAACATCAGGTTGATTTTTAAACTTGTAGGTCTGGTTTTTTCTGTGACTGATAATACCATTGAATGTTTTAGGTACAGAATCTGGGCCATCCACTTCTGAGCATAAGGTAAGCTAATATAAAACTATATATATCAAGTTAACAGTCACAAATTTGTCTGAATTCATTAGAACTGGAAAGTGTCATACCTTAGCATTGTTTTCCTTTTTCCACATATGTTAATATTAAGATAAATTAAAAATGTCTTAGTTTTTTCCTCTAAACAAAATTGTTCTGAATTTAGTGGAACTTGAAAATTTCATATCTTAGCCTTGTTTTCCATTTCCTTCAAACTTTACAATTAAAGTCAGTTAAAATGTCTATATTTCTATCGTATGTGGACTTTTGGTCTAACAACTCTCTTCTTTTGTGTCGTTAGAAACCAGACTTTGGAAATGGTGACTTGTTTGATGCTGAGAGTGACAGTGATCGTGACAGTGGTAAGATTTCAATAATCTAAAATAAACCAAAGTGAATTAGTCAGGGTAATAAATGCACATTGTATTGCATGATTTTATACTACTTTAGTGCTGATAAAATATTTCCAGTGATATTTTTTATGTTTTAAGTTTTCAATTCACAATTTTATGTTTACTGATAAGTATTAAGAAGTAGTGTAGTCTGGCTGCCTGGTGATGTACCCTACATGTTTTATGTAGTCTGGTTGCCTGGTGATGTAACCTACATGTGTTATATACAGGAGATGAACCAGCCCAGAGTAGCAATGATGAAGCTGATGATGAAGGCTTTGACGAAAGTACAATCGACCCAAAACTGTTGAAGCAATTAAAGAAGGTAGTTATTATTTTTTTTCCTTGTCCAACTCGATGACCAAATTATCTTCAGTAAACAGGTGATTTGATGCAAAAATGTTCTTCACTGAACTGGCTAAGCAAAGGAATATTTTTTCTGAAGCAAAAAAAAGTTGTCTTTGTTCTCCTTAATGCTTTCATATCTTTATATTATTAAAGAACTCCAACTTAGAAGCAAAGGATGTTTTTGTATGTGAATGGTTCATTTTCAGGGAGCAGCCAAAAAGGAGACTGTGCGGTCCAAAAGGAAGGCAAAAGAGGAGGCCATTCTCAATATACATAGTGAGACCCAAAGGATGGTCAGAGGTAAGAGCTTACGTACTGAAGATGGCTGACTGTTTAAAGAGTTCAAATTATCAGAATATTGCGATTGAAAGTAATATTTCATTCTTCTAACATTTCTGTACCTCTTGGCAATACCAAAATATATTGAACCTTCAAAAACGAAATGTTGTTTTAATTTTAACTATGGAATAATGTTTATTGATTAAATGGTTACAGGTAATTGAATCAAACATACTTTTACAGAGTCTCGTGTAAGCATTCCTTACCACAACCCCAGCCCCAGGCCGCTGCAGGACTTCCTGGGTCGTGCCTTACAGAAACAGCAGCAGTACAAAGCCTTGAAGGGGGCTAGTCACTCACGGTCAGTTTTAACCCTTAGGCTGCTACGCACAACAAGTCGTTTTGAAAAGTCGGGCCGTCAGTGCTACGCACGACTATAGTCGTTTCTCGGTCTGTAGGCTTTGATCGGTAGCCAGGAAGTGTGAAGTCGGGTTGTTGCTATACCAAACCCGAACGCGTATAGTAGAAGGCTTCTGATTGGTTGTTTTGTCATTACTTTCGATATTCACGGCAGTGTACCCTAGTAATAACCAAAGGTGTGCGAGAGAATTTCAAATCGAAAAAAAATCATAAAAATGGCAGACGTGTAGATTGAAGCGATGATAATAAAAGTTTAAAAGGGTTTGGCATGGTTGATGTGGAAATACTTCGGTGTTACATAATATGTAACTTTCCAGTAAACGGCTTTGTGCTCTACGCAAACAGGAAAATATCGGCGGACCGAGGCGCACATGTCGTCTGCAGGTGAGGCCGAATTGAACATTGACATTGATACGTTTTGAGCCGATTTATTTCTTCAAACTTTTTATCGGTGATTTAATCATAAACTAGACCGTAGCTAAGATATATCTATATGCCGACTGTGACAGTAAATTTATTGAATGGCGACCTGAAACCTGTAGCAAATCACATGCAATTCTTGACGAAATACCTGACCTTTTTACCTGAGAATCTCCGTGTAAATATACAGCGTCTTATGTCAAAAATAAAGTTTATAATCTCTGTTATCATTTGCTAATCACATTTGCGAACGAAAATAATTTTAAAATGATCTTCCTCTTGCTTAAATCCGATTAATTAAAAGTTTCACATTTTCTTACCTTTATTACCACCTGTACAGGTAAATACTGAAGCAACTTTCGAATTGAAAACGTTAATATAATCTAGAGACAACAACGAACAATTTTCATATAACTTTTTTTCACATATAACAAATATTTTCCAAGTTATGCACATTTGAAAAATCAAGTAAATGAATTTATATTTCAATAATTAATTCAGCAGTGGTGTCCGTTTACATAGAAATCAATATAGCAGCCTAAGGGTTAATATATTTCAGTAAAACAGATATTATCCTAAAAAAATACAATCTATGCACTAGAATTACATCATTCTAGGAAAATAATTACCCATACATTTAAATATATATATATTTATAGGGTCATAAATGAACCAATAAGTATTGTTTGAAATTAATGTATCTTTGAAACTTGTTTGCAAAACGTTTTGATTTTGGTCAAGTTGAATTGCAATGTGATTTGCGATATGACTGCCTAAGATCCATCTGAGATCTCTTGTTTTGGGAGTAAAAAGCATATTTGTATACAGTATTTTGTTTCATTTTGACAGTAAAGCACAGTTGTGTGAGGAAGTTTTATCTAAAACCAGATTTTCCAGTCCAAAGTTATCATCCACTGATTGCCAGGGTATGGAGGTAGATCTGTCGGTAGATAGGCAAACTGCTGACATATCGGACAGTGCTCAGCCTACAGAAACTGGGGTACCACACACAGGGGCAGACAGTGACAATGACAGTCTGCCAGATCTTCAGTCACATAGGGACAAACCTGGTCACAGTGATAGTTGTCTTGAAAGTAAGTCAACATGTGGACAATCTGAGAGTAAGTCAACATGTGGACAATCTGGGGAACTTCAAAAGGAACCCAGCAACCTTGACTTCGATGAATTACCAGACTTAGTTATAGAGGAAGAAACAACAAATACCAATAAAGTAGAGAAGCTCAAAATGGAGTCGTCATTCGAACTTCAAGGTATTGAAGACTCGAATAAAAAACCAGATTCCGATGTGTGTGAGCAGGACTTGTGTAAGGACAGCTGTGCCATGGAGGTGTGTGACACCACAGACCAACCTAGTAGTGCTGTTAGTGGAGATGTGGATACTGAAGTGTCAAACAAAGAGGACACACCAAGTACAAAGCTGGCTAACCGGGGGACACTTGGTGACCTGTCGTCCCTCCCTCGCTTAAGTGGAGGACCCAACTCTTTCATCAGTCTGGATGAGGACAGTGGAGGCTCCACCCCCAAAAATAGAGAAATGTCAATATTTATGGAGAGGTTTCTCAGACATTCACAAAAGAAAGAAAAGAAGACATCTGATCAGGATGTTCAGATCAGGTAAATTTTTCCTTGATTTGGTTTGGTTTATTTGTGTTTTACATCCTATTAACAGCTATAGTCATTTAAGGATATACCAGGTTTTGGTAGTTGGGGAAGCTGGAGTACCAGGAGAAAAACCTCTGACAAGCACAATACATTGGTTTAGGACTAGTAATCATAGACTTGCCTTGATATCAATTTATGTTTGATACTTTAATAACAAATATCTCATATTAAAGCAGATGAATGGCCAGTTGATTTGTTAATAGAAATAAAACAAACTTAGTTTTCGTTCCAAGCTCAAGGTAGTGATGAAATATTTTACTTTTACAGTGTTGTACAAAAAGAAAAAATGGCCCCTGACCGTGAGGAACTGAAGGAAAGCACATTCACATACCATGCCACACCCATTGAGGATAACCCTCTTCTCAAACTGGACACGCCAGGTTAGTTCTAGGTCTGCTGAAATGGACCAAAAAGTATTGCTCAGAATCACATTCATCAATAATTTTACTGTAGAATTCTTTCACTATTGTAAAGTCTTATCAAATTGCATTGTCTTATAGGAGCAAAGCTACTGGCTCTTAAGTCTCAACTGTCGGTGGTGATGGCTCAGAAAAGGGAGAAGAATCGGTTGAAGCACCAGCAGGTTTATGACTTGGACAATGAGGCAGGCTTTGAGGGAGATGAGGAGGAGGCTTTACTAGATGATGAGGCAGAAATGTCTGACCATTCCGACACAGATGTTGAAGATGACGACTTTGAAGAACAGTTTGGAGATGCTGATGAAGAATTGGAGCAGGATGAGGAACCAAGAGAGGTAAAATAACAAGAAAAGTAATTAATACAAGTGTAATAGAACCTCAATAATCCAGACAGTTTTGTTACAGGTAAAAATTATGAAATATGATACCTCAACTGTTAGTTGTTTGTTTTACCAAATGACCAGCTTTTTAGGTCACCTGAGACAAAGTCTCAAGTGACCTATTGCAATCGCCTTTTGTCCGTCGTCGTCCGTCGTGTGTCCGTAAACAATTTACATTTTCAACTTCTTCTCCAAAACCCCTGAACCAATTTCAATGAAATTTTGCAGGGACCTTCCATGGACAAAGGTCAACAAAAATAGTTGCCGGTTTAGTCCTACGCCCCCAGGGGCCTGAGGGGCGGGGCCAAAAAGGGTCGAATTGACTAAAATTTCAAAAATCTTCTTCTCAAGACCCAGATATGGTAGAATCAAATACTCTTCATAGATGGAAGGGTCTTAAGGTGCTTTACTGAAATTGTGAATTTCTTGACCCTGGGGTCTCACGTTTCCCCCTGGGGAGGGGGTAAACTTTACTATAGTTTATATAGGGAAATCACATTTTGGACCAACATTTGTTTAATTTCCATTGGAAGTAATTCAATTTGGGTTAGCATTATCAGTATTAGGTAGCAGTTTGATAGTATGCACCTATGAGCCCTGACTGACCCCCAGGGGCTGATGGGTGGGGCCAAAAAGGGTTGAATTGACTGAAATTTCAAAAATCTTCTTCTCAAGACCCAGATATGGTAGAATCAAATACTCTTCATAGATGGAAGGGTCTTAAGGTGCTTTACCGAAATTGTGAATTTCTTGACCCTGGGGTCTCACGTTTCCCCCTGGGGAGGGGGTAAACTTTACTATAGTTTATATAGGGAAATCACATTTTGGACCAACATTTGTTTAATTTCCATTGGAAGTAATTCAATTTGGGTTAGCATTATCAGTATTAGGTAGCAGTTTGATAGTATGCACCTATGAGCCCTGACTGACCCCCAGGGGCTGATGGGTGGGGCCAAAAAGGGTTGAATTGACTGAAATTTCAAAAATCTTCTTCTCAAGACCCAGATATGGTAGAATCAAATACTCTTCATAGATGGAAGGGTCTTAAGGTTTATGACCCTAGGGTCTCACGTTTACCCCCTGGGGAAGGAGGGGGGGGGGGGGGGGGCAAAATTTATTATGGTTTATAATGGCAAATGATACTTTGAATATTACATGTTAATAACTTGATTGGAATTATAACCTTGAGTTGACAGTTTGATACTTTGAAAATTTTGAGCCAGCCCTACCCCCAAGGGCTGTAGGGTGGGGCTCAAGGGAGTCAGTGTGCTAAAATTTCTTCATTTTCCTTGTTTAGAATCAGAGGTGCTAGTTTCAAATCCTTTTTAGTCTGAAATCTGTATGCTTGATATTGAATAAGGTGGTTTTATTGTTTTTTGTCACTTTGAATAATATTTCTGTTCATGTTAAAAACGAAATCAACTCTCTGTATAAATATATCAGGTGACCGTTAAGGCCCATGGGCCTCTTGTTGTTTTTGCACTAAGGATGGCCGCCATGGCCTTCTTATTGGCCGAGACAATAATGGTTATAACTTGAGTTCTGTGGGGCCAACTACATGCAATTTGATACTTTGTGGAGGTGATGTATAGCCTATTAGGGGACATATACTTAAGATCAACTTTTATATTTTGGAATTCAAAATGGCTGCTATAGCCTCAAATTGGCTGAGACATTAAAACCTTCATTAGTTGAACAGAGGTATTAGTATGCCTGTGGCTTCCCGCTCTATTTTTTGTCAGATTAATCAAGTACAAATTTTGTTAACATGGAGTTTACTAATAATTAACTTATGACACAGAAAATTGTCAATCCTTAACTATTAATTTGACTGTCAGGCAAAGTATCTTGACAGAGTATTAATGCAGTAAAATGGATAATTTGGTGCGGTGAAACTGCATAGGCTTTATCCCAAATGTAGGCACTAGTTTCTGACTTATTGATGAAACTTTTACTTCGTGTGTTCCATAGTCAGACATTGTGTCACCACTCAAGATTGACAAAAAGTGCCTCTGTGTGCAAATATTTCCTTCTTTGTTTTAGTTGGCCTAATGGTGATCCTCACGATGTTTCAGGACATACGCTTTACAGAGCACAGATTTACTTTTGTTCATCAAGAAAATTCCATATCATATCCCCATATATAATTATTTCAAGCCAAGGTATAGAAATACCATCACCAATAGATACGAAAATAACAAGACCAGAACCACAGACAGATTAGGATATTATTCATTGTCTAAACACCCAGGGGGATGTCTTTCTTAATGCTACAGGCCTTAGCAGATTTATCTATGTTACATACAGAATGTATAAAATCAATTTATATTTGTTATTCCAGAAGAATCCGTTCATGGATGATGAGGCTGAAGAAGATGAGGAAAGCGAGAAAGAGGATGGTGATCTCAATCTTAAGTTACAGTTGTCCGACAATGAGGAAGAAGAGGAAAAAGAAGGTATTCAACTGTAAAATTATATCTGTAGCTGGGAAATTTCTTTAGTAAATATTAGATAGGTTAAGTAAAAAAATACATTCATGTTTATAATATATTTGTTAGAAAGAATTGTGAAATATGTGTTATAAGATCTGAATTAAGGAAAAGATTTCTACAATAATGTACTTAACTGATATTGATTATGATGTTTTTTAGAAGAGGTAGTGAAGGCTATGTCAACCAAGAAGAAAAGCAGAGTCCTGCAGATCAGCGATGACGAAGACAGTAATGCTGTAGCCTGTTCGATGGACTGTGCCCAGCGATCCGCCAAAGAGGTGGATAATGTCCAGCAGTCGTCTGGTGTCGCAGACAATGTCCAGCAGTCGTCTGGTGTCGCAGACAATGTCCAGCAGTCGTCTGGGGTGGTAGACTACGACCAGAAGTCCACAGGTGCAATTTAAAATCTGTAGTGTTTTGCTCAAAGTATTATTGACTGAAAGAGACTATGTTAATTTTATAACAAACCAAAAATAATTTGTTATATATCTAGAATACCTGCACTGCACTGAAATCTTTAATCAATGTGTTGATAAAAGGTATTCGTTTGTGCTCAAAATGTTTATGCTATCCGTTGATATTCCACACAGTGAAAATTAATATTCTTGATAGCTTTAGTATATTACAGCTTATTTACGGAATTTTTTTCAGATGCAAAGAGTATTGAAACAGGGGTGTCAGCCTCTCATTTTCTAGTACCCCACAGTCTGGAGGAGTCGCGGGCAGTGGAGGAGTTCTCTCCCTTCTCCAAACACCTGGCTTCCATGTCAACTTCCCCAGTAAGTTTGGTAGTTTCATGAAAATTGTTCTATGTGTAAGGTATTTAATTCGCACATTTGATTTGTTTATTACTCGAGTCAACCAATACTTTTAGCTCGCCTGGCTCTAAGGGCCAAGTGAGCTTATGGCATGGTGCGGCGCCCGTCCGGCGTCAACTTTTTACTTTAATCAACTTCTTCTCAGTAACCAAAAGGCCTAGGGTGATGATATTTGGCCAGAAGCATGCTTGGATGAAGGGCTACCAAGATTGTTCAAATAAATGACCTTCATCAATTTTCAAGGTCACAGGGGTCAAATATGTTAAAATTTTTAAACAACTTCTGAATAACCAAGAGGCCTAGGATGATGATATTAAACCTGTAACATGCTTGGATGAAGGGCTTTTAAGTTTGTTCAAATAAATGACCATGCCTTATATTCAAGGTCACAGGGGTCAAATATGTTAAAATCTTTTAAACAACTTCTTCTGAATAACCGAGAGACCTAGGGTGATGATATTTGGCCAGTAACATGCTGGGATGAAGGGCTTCCAAGTTTGTTCAAATAAATGACCTTGACTTATATCTAAGGTCACAGGGGTCAAATATGTTAAAAACAGTTAAACAACTTCTTCTGAATAACCAAGAGGCCTAGGATAATGCTAGTAACATGCTGGGATGAAGGACTACCAAGTGTATGAGCTCCGCCCATATTCAAGGTCACAGTGGTCAATATATGTTTAAATCTTTAAATGATTTGTTCTGTATAACGAAAAGGTCCTGGGTAATGATATTTTTCCAGAAGCATGCTGGGTTGGAAGACTATAAACTCTGTTCAACCTAATATTATAATGTCCTTGTTCGACATTCAAGGTCACAGGTGTCATATGTTTAAATCTTTTAATAGGTTCTTATGAATAAAACACTGATATTTTGCCTGTAGCTATATTTTAGTCCACTTTTAAGATTACAAGTGTGAGATTAATACCAGGTGAGTGATGCCTGTTGTTTTAGATATTTTACTAGTAGTGTATACGAGAAAAAAACACTTTCGCTGACCCCTCTTCCCCACATACATTTGCTCCCTAGTGCTAGGTTACTGATCACTTCATTTCATAACAATCAGGGAAACGGCATAACTCCTTTCAAAGATTTCAAAATTGGGAAGAAATTGCAAGCACACCACTTCCTATAGTACTGAACATTCATGTTTCATAATAATTAGCTAATAATGTAAATAAGAGCACTTAGCAAAAAATGTTTAAAGGATATAAGTAAAGATTCCTTGTTCACTAGAAACCCCCAACTGTTCAGTTATATTCTCTTTTGCTCAGTTAAATTTCCCAAACAATAGTGGTGTCATGTCATTAACTCTTAATATCAACTTTGACATTGTGTGATGTACAGACACAGAAAAAGCGCATGAACCTGCCCCCACCCATTGAAGACTCCCAGGATCTTTATGGCAACAACCAAGCCCTGCCGCCGACACAGACACAGAGTGAGATGCCCCTCTTCTACCTGGAGGATTCTCAATCACAAATGTTAGATGCTGATGGGTAAGTCTATTACAGGACTCGCTGGAAGTCTCCATAGTAAAGTGTCAGGTGCTGACAGCTAAATCTACCTAAAAAGCTAAGAGATAGTCTGGTTAAATCTTCCCATCAAGCTAGTATGATAGATACTTACAGTCAGTATAGCTGGGGGACTAAAGTGGATGGTAAATCCTCCCTGAGAACTTGTAGACATTTTGTTAGACATTGGTGGTTAAGTCTACCTGTAAGTCTGACCCACTGTTATCAGTGGTGGACATTGTGTTAGACATTGGTGGTTAACTCTACCCGTAAGTCTGACCCACTGTTATCAGTGGTGGACATTGTGGTAGACATTGGTGGTTAAGTCTACCCGTAAGTCTGACCCACTGTTATGAGTGGTGGACATTGGGTTAGACATTGGTGGTTAAGTCTACCCGTAAGTCTGACCCACTGTTATCAGTGGTGGACATTGTGGTAGACATTGGTGGTTAAGTCTACCCGTAAGTCTGACCCACTGTTATGAGTGGTGGACATTGTGTTAGACATTGGGGGTTAAGTCTACCCGTAAGACTGACCCACTGTCATCAGTGGTGGACATTTTGTTAGACATTGGTGGTTAAGTCTACCCGTAAGACTGACCCACTGTTATCAGTGGTGGACATTTTGTTAGACATTGGTGGTTAAGTCTACATGTAAGTCTGACCCACTGTTATCAGTGGTGGACATTGTGTTAGACATTGGTGGTTAAGTCTACCCGTAAGACTGACCCACTGTTATCAGTGGTGGATGCTGTTTTAGTCTTACTATAGAACCTGCCTGATATAAATACATCATGTAGAAGACAATGTAGTTTGTTTTGACTATTACTTGCTGGTACCAAGACCCTTCTACGTTTTATAATTGAACGGATTCCAGTTTTTACCAATTTTGTTCAAAAGGTTGGCATGGGTACATGATGAAAACTTGATATTTTCCTGATAAATTTTGATGTACATTTTATTTCAGGTTTTTGAAGGTTGGATCAACAGGCAAGAAAAACGTGCGTTCATTTACTCTAGGTAACACAGATAATGCAGAGTCATCTGACATGGATGAACTATTAGGGCTTTGCTCAGGACGATTTGGTGGTGAGTGGAAATTGTATTGATAATACTGTATGTGGAGGACTCAAATATGGCATCAGTTGTTTTGACACAGACCACTCGATAACCTGATAGTTCATAAAATAAGTTTCATTTGATTCATGAATTTCATACAAATATTGTATTGATACCAACTCGACAAGAAATGTTGCTTGGTTTGAGAATTGATTTTATTTGATGAAGCTCACCCCTTAATGTTGACAGCTACTCAGAGTGAGGATAAGAAGTCCTGTAAGAGTCTGTTTGGAACCCAGCAAACACAGGGCAACATGGACGAACTGCTGGGGCTCTGCTCCGGACAATTCGCTGGCAGGTACGAGGAAACTTTGTTGACAAGAGCTTTTGAAGTGTTTGGATTATCACGTTTTAAAGTGTCTGCCGAAACAGCTGGGTGAATGGGTTATCTCCATATTTATTTTACATAAAACGGGTAAATCATGAGAATGCAAGAAATTAAAACATTATACACTCTATAATTTATGATTTTTCCATTGAATATTATGTTGTAACTATAATAATGTACATTTAAGCAGTGATTTGATATCAAACTTGTTAGTTTTATTTATTCAAAACTCAGTTACATTTCATTTTTGTTGAACTTTGTTATGGTTCTGTAGTTGATTTAAGAGGTTATTATCGTGTGAAAATAGTACAACTGTTTTTTTACAACAATTATGGAACGAGTCTATAATGTTAATCATTGTTGTTTGCTTGGGTAAGGGGTTGGGTGTCTTAATATGGGAGGAAACTGAAGTTGTTGGAGAATACTAGTACCCAGGGTCTTTTAGGCGACTCCATACATTCATGTCTATTTCGGGGTATTTAACCCAGATCACTGCGGTGAATGGTGAGTACACTATCCACTGCACTTTCAAACCATTGAGGTAAAAATACTGATTTTATGGTCACAATGTGTTGTTCTAGGTACATATTTGTGTACTAAGCGTCATGTGAAAATAGGGAGCATTTAGATAAAAAAAAATGGTGGAACACTTTACATCCATGTTGCGATGTTACAGAAAAAACTTTATGCTTCCAGTGGTAAAATGCCTCAGGATTCACAGAAGACAGGAATGAAGCGCAAGTTGCCATTAGATGATGATGATGAAGAGGAGGAGGAGGAGGAGTTCAGGATAGTGAGTGATGAGGAAGAGAAGTTCGATCATAATGACAAGGTGAGCGTAACAGAGTAGTGCATTTTATTGAATTCCTTCCATCAAGTAAAATCTCTGTATTTTGTTGTTTTTGGTGTAATGTTGACTGCTCTCTGTATTTTGTTGTTTTTGGTCTAATGTTGACTGCTCTCTGCATTTTGTTGTTTTTGGTCTAATGTTGACTGTTTTTGGTCTAATGTTGACTGTTCTCTGTATTTTGTTGTTTTTGGTCTGATGTTGACTGCTCTCTGTATTTTGTTGTTTTTGGTCTAATGTTGACTGCTCTCTGTATTTTGTTGTTTTTGGTCTAATGTTGACTGCTCTCTGTATTTTGTTGTTTTTGGTCTAATGTTGACTGCTCTCTGTATTTTGTTGTTTTTGGTCTAATGTTGACTGCTCTCTGTATTTTGTTGTTTTTGGTCTAATGTTGACTGCTCTCTGTATTTTGTTGTTTTTGGTCTAATGTTGACTGCTCTCTGTATTTTGTTGTTTTTGGTCTAATGTTGACTGCTCTCTGTATTTTGTTGTTTTTGGTCTAATGTTGACTGCTCTCTGTATTTTGTTGTTTTTGGTCTAATGTTGACTGCTCTCTGTATTTTGTTGTTTTTGGTCTAATGTTGACTGCTCTCTGTATTTTGTTGTTTTTGGTCTAATGTTGACTGCTCTCTGTATTTTGTTGTTTTTGGTCTAATGTTGACTGCTCTCTGTATTTTGTTGTTTTTGGTCTAATGTTGACTGCTCTCTGCATTTTGTTGTTTTTGGTCTAATGTTGACTGTTTTTGGTCTAATGTTGACTGTTCTCTGTATTTTGTTGTTTTTGGTCTAATGTTGACTGCTCTCTGTATTTTGTTGTTTTTGGTCTAATGTTGACTGCTCTCTGTATTTTGTTGTTTTTGGTCTAATGTTGACTGCTCTCTGTATTTTGTTGTTTTTGGTCTAATGTTGACTGCTCTCTGTATTTTGTTGTTTTTGGTCTAATGTTGACTGCTCTCTGTATTTTGTTGTTTTTGGTCTAATGTTGACTGCTCTCTGTATTTTGTTGTTTTTGGTCTAATGTTGACTGCTCTCTGTATTTTGTTGTTTTTGGTCTAATGTTGACTGCTCTCTGTATTTTGTTGTTTTTGGTCTAATGTTGACTGCTCTCTGTATTTTGTTGTTTTTGGTCTAATGTTGACTGCTCTCTGTATTTTGTTGTTTTTGGTCTAATGTTGACTGCTCTCTGTATTTTGTTGTTTTTGGTCTAATGTTGACTGCTCTCTGTATTTTGTTGTTTTTGGTCTAATGTTGACTGCTCTCTGTATTTTGTTGTTTTTGGTCTAATGTTGACTGCTCTCTGTATTTTGTTGTTTTTGGTCTAATGTTGACTGCTCTCTGTATTTTGTTGTTTTTGGTCTAATGTTGACTGCTCTCTGTATTTTGTTGTTTTTGGTCTAATGTTGACTGCTCTCTGTATTTTGTTGTTTTTGGTCTAATGTTGACTGCTCTCTGTATTTTGTTGTTTTTGGTCTAATGTTGACTGCTCTCTGTATTTTGTTGTTTTTGGTCTAATGTTGACTGCTCTCTGCATTTTGTTGTTTTTGGTCTAATGTTGACTGCTTTTCTACAGAATGAACTGAGTGACGATGAAGATGCAGGAGAAGGAAATGACACAGATAATATCGAGGACAGTGGAGATGAAGTAGATGGGGAGGCTCCTAGCAAGTTTACTGGCTTTACTGCTGGCAATAAACATGGGTAGGTACAGGAAATAAACTAACGTGGATATTAGGTTTACTGATGGCAATAAACACAGGTAGATTCTCAAATCATTCCATGATTTGCTTAACTCTGAAATCTTAAATTTTCCCTCAGATTTACGAATCTAGATAAGATGTGTGACCTGATTGAATTAATCATTTGAATATATTACCAAAGTCTCTTATTTGTCCTGTGAGTCAGTCCAGTCTCTGCTGCCTGACGTGGTTAATGAAAGTTATTATACTGATAAATATAATACATTACATTACAATTACATTACAATGTACTTTAAACCTGGTTTCATCAGTCTTTTCAGTTAACTAATCTTTGTTTATTTTCACATTTATAGACTTATCAGGAAAGATTTTGTAGATGAGGAAGCCGAACTGTCAGGTAATAACCAGATATAATTCAAAAATTAAATTTTGATTTTTAGGTCACCTGAGCTTTAGCTCAAGTGACCTATTGCTATCCATCTTCGTCTGTCGTCCGTTAACATTTTACATTTTCAACTTAAGCTGAAATACTGGCAAAGGGATTTCATTAATATTTCATGGGAAGGTTACTGACATCTCCCTGACCAAGTGTTGTTATTTTTCGGGTCGATCAGAAATCCAATATGGCCGCCACAGCCGCCATTTTGAAAAACTATTTCAAACTTAAAGTCAAGTTCTGCTGGGCCGATTGAACTGAAACTTTGTAGGAATGATTGACTCATGGACCTGACAAACTTGAGTTTACGTTATACTGAACTATTTTGTACTCAAATTGGTACATATTTCAACAACAAAAATAAATACTGTAGGACTCAGGTGACCGTTTAGGCCCATGGGCCTCTTGTTAATTATGACATAAAAAAATGTACATAATTTGTCTTTACTTTTGGGAAGAGTCAAACAAGGGGGAAATAAACCTGTTTAGTAAAACCTGGCATTGTTTATATATTTGCTGTCTGCAGAGCTTATAGGAATACTCATTGGTTGTCAGTTTATGCTATAACTAATGACTTCGTAAGATTTCAGTATGAATATTATGCAAATGGAGAACGTAACTCTTTTGTGATTAACAGGAAGTGAGTATGACAGTGACGAAAACTTGGATATTGCTGAAGAGGACGACTTCATGGAGATGGAAGAGGGGGACAAAGATGTGACTGTAGGAGAGGAGGAGCTCCGTAATCAAGTCGGCCGTGCCCACTTGTAAGTATTCCTGAGAATGGGTAAAGATGCTTGATTAGCGTGTCACTATACTCTCTTTATTAACTGCCATCTTCTGTGCTGGGCATATATGTCTAACAGACATTCTCTAGTGTTTATTTCTGAAGATCCAAAGCCAACAAAGATAATACAGTTTATACTAATTAAATAAACTAGGCCTATTCTGCATTTGTGTTGTATAAGGTGACAATATTGGTGTTAGTTTTACCTCCTGTTTTTACTCTCCAGGAAGCAGCTGATCGATGAGGATAAGCGTGAATTGATGCGCTTTCAGGAGATGTACCTGCAGGACGGGGACCTTCACTCGGAGGGGGCAGGGCGCAAACGACAGTTCAGGTGGAGGGACATTGGTAGGTATAAGAGGATAGCATTAGTAAACAGTATTAAGGGAATCCATCTGTGTTGCTAAATAATGATTCTATGACATGAACTTTATTCACATAATAGTTATGTAAACTACCAAGGATAATTTGAGCAGGGGATTGTAAGGGCCATAGGTATCTGGTTGTATATATAGTACCTTGAACTAGGACAGGAGTAAGTACCTGCTGGGTGTCTTCGGCAGTATGTTTCAGTGAGGTAGCACTATAAAGTCGGCATCAGTTTCGCGCTATCACAAGAAGACAAACATGAATATATCGCAGCCTCCTAAAACACACACGCATACACTACACGCACGCATCTTGCACACAGGGAACGCCATCCTTAAACGACCATAGTTGTTGATAGGACGTTAAACAATACTAAACCAAACCAAACCCTTTACCAAGTGACTGAATCTTGATGTCGCGTGTCTGTAAGGTTATGTATAGGATCTTGTGTATCATGTATCAGTCCAACTCATTGGGACCATAGTAGTGGTAAACAGATTTTAGTTGGGATTCAATGATTTGCTGTGAACATAGTATGCAATTATTTGCCCAAATTTATGATTTGCTCAGGAGAAATTCTCTGCCCACCTCCATTACAAATGGAAAAGTATGGTAGTCATTGATAAAGGCTGCCAGATGGTGACTTAAATGCTGTGCTATTGAGGTAGGATGACTTCCTGTTCAACATTTTTTTTGTGTGTAGATGATGACACTCAACAAGACATGTTTGGAAGTGAGTCTGAGGGGGAGAAGGAAGATGAAGAGGGGGAGAATGAACTCAGATGGAGGAAAGAACGATTTGAACGAGAGAAATGGCTCAAGGAACAAATGGTGAGTTTTCATGTTGCATTTCGTTTCTGCTATTGGCACGAACACAAGCTATATGTAAAGTTATGTATATAAATAATGTTGTTCAAGTTCCTATTACATGTATTTGCAAAGTTTGGCCCCTTTTTGTAAAAAAAAACCACCCTGTCAATACAGTACATTTCACTTAATATCACGTCGCTTAATATCATGATGCACCGTTTTTCCTGCTATATAATCTATGCAATTCAATTCTTTTATTATCACCTGATTTTATGTCGACTTCTCTTAATATCACTTTATTTTGGCCACTGTCACAAAAAAAATACAGGTAAATGGCGGTAATGACTCTTGATAAATGCCCCCGGGGACCTTCCGTCACACCTGGACGCGTTATGTAAACAACGCCGCGCCCTAACGGGGTATTTTTTGACACCTGGCTGACTGTCAAACAATAGGTTACACCTGGCTGACTGTTAAACAATAGGTTGACCTTACATACTTGTTAACAGGATTTTCACCTGTGGTTGGGTAGCTAGGACAGTCTTACATCTGTAAACTTTTGTAATGCCAAGTCAACTAACAGGTGTACTATCTTCCATTACAGCTCGTATCCAGATATGAATTTACGTTGTCGTGAAGTAGGCATACAAGTGGACGGTCTTCCGTAAAATATGACAAATGTTGAATGAGATTAAAATAAAGAGTGTCTTTCAAACAATAAGTTTCTTAAATTATTTAAGTTTGACCAAGGTTCACGTACAATACGATAAAATTGTCTTTGTTTTGAATCTCAAATAACCCACGTACGACGCCGACATGGTGTTGTCGTAATTCTACCGTATGCTGCTGGTGTAAAATCGTGATCTGCGAGAATGTATTCATTGCAAAATTATGACCTATGTTTAATTACACTTTCCAAATGTCGATGTGATAAATAGATTGCCTTTTGTGTTTTCATTTATTGTTCAAACTATCGTAACAAGCCTACATTTTTCACTTCCCTCGTTTACGGCTGGTTTAACCCGATTTCATAACACGGCATCTGATTGGTCAGTAGCAATGTACACATTGTAACTGAGAATGAGTGAATAAAATATGCATCGAGACTTTATCATTGCCTGGTGTTCTTATTTGCATATTGAGGTCATCCAATGAAATGCTACGTTTCAAATGTAAAAAGTCACGGTGCGATAGACAAACTCGCAGAAAACGATGTCACACTTGCAGCAAATATTTAAAGAAATAAAACTATAAACAGATGTTACTAGCGAAAGAACAGTATATATATCAAGATAAAGGTAAATATTTACCAAGTCTCATGTTTACAATTGAATTTGATGCAGAATACCAGCCAAACACTAATTTGTATGCCTACATCACTACTGCAGTAAACAATCATAATTACGATCATACTGATCGTCATTTTGCTACTAACTATATGAAATGTAACTGCATACTGAAATGAAATACAAAGAATATCTTTATTTCTATACTTATTTACTTATACTATATTTCAACTATAGTAAAGAATAAGGTTAGTTACAAAATATCTTTATTTTACAATCTTCTTCGTAGAGCCACATCACTTAGGCATTTGACTAAGTTCACTTCCGGTTTTGAGGGCTGAAAAACGTCAGAAAATACGTATTCTGTTTATGTCATGTTTCGGTTAATATCATGTTTTTCGCTGACAAATGGGAAGTGATATTAAGCGAAATCTACTGTACAACTTTCTTAACATATTTGCATACAATAGATTTCAATGAAAAATTTACCAGTACACATTATGTGTCATTAAGGTGATTGTAAACCATGTAGTAAACAGGACCAAAACACTAAACTTCCTAAAGCACTGGTCCTTCAGGCAATTCGTTCTGAAACAGTGCTTCTCCAAAAAAAGAAACAAAGCCATTTTATATTTGATAGAAAAAATGGTATGCCGAGAATACAATACTGAGGGTAATATATATACAGTAGATAAGTTGGTATTGTTCCTGCAGAAAATTCTGACTTGCCCACAATCCAAACGTACTGGCCTGGGTGTGTTTTGTGTCAGTAGTGATTTGCAGCAGCCAATTGAATACAACTCTAGGCAAAATCAAATCATATTGTCACATCAAACGCTATAGCTCTAAGCCCAGTTTATTTCCAGGACAAACAAAAATTGATATGTGAATCAGAAAGAATTTAACAAGACTAAATTTTACATACAATGCACTAAAACACTATTCCTCTCATAAAACACTGATAAGAGATTAACATTGTTAGCCTGGACTATTTTGATTTCAAAGATTGTCATATTTGACACTACATCTGAAACTAGTAGAAAAGAGATGTTTATATGTTGTGCACTTAATGTGTCTTTCCAGCTGTACTCGGCTAACATCTTCACAGACAATTTTCTGTCTGATCACTGGGTTTAATTATTGCTAATTCACAAAATGTTGTCTTTGTTTGGTTTGACAGGAGCAAGAGAAGGAAGGAGATGAAAGTCAGCTCTTCAAGTTTGGCAAAGTCTTCCTCAAGAGGAGAGGTAGGTCTGTTGTGAAAAGAAATAGGGTCTCTGTAAAGACATTATAAATAAAACTAATGACTAATTTTGGTTGCATTTATAGGGTTAAACTTGCATATAGTGTGCCATGTTTTGACTTGTTATATGTCTTGTATACTTTTATAGAGAATATGATACTAAACAGTGTCCTGACTCCTCATGTTGGTATGATAGAGTTAACAAATGGTTTGGGAAAATTTCAACATAAAAATACAAAAATAAATTCAAGTTCATCAGATTTTTTGAGACTGATCAGATCAGTGTTTTTTGTTTTATTTATTTTGCTTTGAAAGCCCACGTTTTTTATTAGCAACAATTTTACTTGTTTTAATAACCTCCGGTTAAAGTTTTCCAACCTTTCAGCCGGGAGATATATTTCCTTTTTTAGGTCACCTGAGACAAAGTCTCAAGTGACCTATTGCAATCGCCTTTTGTCCGTCGTGCGTCCGTAAACAATTTACATTTTCGACTTCTTCTCCAAAACCCCTGAACCAATTTCAATGAAATTTTGCAGGGACCTTCCATGGACAAAGGTCAACAAAAAT